AAATACAAAACACAGGATCATGTGTAAGAGTTATCAGTCTGTACATTAAAACCACAAATGATACAAACATGTAGCTTACTACTGTGATCAGGCAAGATGACAAGTAACCACTTCAAGATGCTAGTGGGTTGGGAGCAACTCCTTCCTTTCAGATATACTTTAAAAACAAAAATGGTCCGACGTATAGTAGGAATGTTTGGAGCAATGGAACAGGCACCTCCACATGCTTGAAGAAACTGCAAACTACAGCAGATCAACAAATGCATGCATATGTATCTGTATACATACATTAGGACTTGGCCCATTAAGGTCAGTCTGTTGTTATTAATAACAGAAAAACGTATATCATATAGTTCATGTTCACTGCTTACATTCTGAACATTCTGGACTTTTGTGTTTGTTTTTTCTTTCTAAAAACACATGTAACACTGCATTTTTATAGTTGTGTTACAAAAAAAAAGTTTTAATTACAGATGATGTCTAGGCAACACACAGCCATTTGACCAAAACAAAAGCTTTCTTAACTCAAAAGGTGACAAAAATTTCATTGTGAAGTGAAAGATAATTCCTTCAGGAACAACATTTCTGTAACTCTGCAGTACTCTTTCAAAAATGACATTCAGTAAAACATAGACAGATCATGTGCAGTAGTAGAAGTTTTCATTAGCTACTAGCTTCGGCCTGCATTAAAAAAAAACAAACAAAAATTCCCACCAACATAAGTAGATCAAAAGGTATATACCATCTAGTAAAGAATGCATGCAAAAAGGACAGATCTCTCAAAGAAGTTTAGTAATATTATACTCCTATTACAAGTAATATATAGGCTAATGCATCCTGTATATTGATATCTTGAACATCTCAAAACTAAATAAAGCCCATCCTCCCACAAAGCAGAGTAAACATCATCATAGTAGCGTTCCAGGGCCCTGCAAAAAACAGAGAATACAAACACAGAAAGCCTCACTTATCTGAAGGACAGAGCAGAAAAACTACTGTCCCCAAGACATAAACCAATACATTAACTTTCCAGTAGTAAGTATCGACAGTTGCAAGCAAACGCTGTCATTCTCCAATACGAAAGCAAATCTATACACAAAGTGCTGTTTCGTCCTGTAAACTGGCATGTGTTCTATGACTGATATCAATTACCCACCAAAGTATTTTCTAATAGAAAGAAAAGATTATGCAGCTACTTTCATAAAAAACATGTTTGTAATGTTTCATTCCACATCTGGGTTTTCTATTAACCTTCCAGACAGTCGTAGAATATAAAATAGCTTTTACCTTCCATCCTCCAGCTGGAGAGCTCTCAGTCCTGCCAGTACAGCATCTTTATCTACTCGACTTAAATCATCTCCAAGAATAACCAGACATGACAGACCTGTGTAAGTCATTGCTATGTGCCCACTGTCATAGGGATGAGATATACCTGGACCCTAGAAAAAAAGGGGGAAAAAATAAAAATATTGAAATATCGTAAGACCTTACATTACAGTCAAGTGTTGATTTAAAAAAAAAAAAAAAAAATTAAGAGGTAAACAAAATTCTTTTCCCTTCATTCATTATGGTTAAACTGAAGGTATCCCACTCAGCTTTTCTAATCAAACTAAGCTACCACAGAGCTCTGCTAGCCATGTAAACAGTTGGTCAGTAGGAAGTTTTGGAAAAAAGCTTTGCCAAGAGTGATATTTATGCAAGAGCTAAGCAAAAAGATGGGATATGCTCAACTGTACTTAAGTTTATCCTGACACACCACTGGGCATCTGCTTCCTGGCAGCTGGGTAGCACTGCTAAACAGCCAAGCCTCTGGAGGTCCCTTCAACAAAGATTTTACAATCTAATGATCCCTCAGTGTGAGGGATTTTTAGTAATCTATCAATTGAAGCAATACCAAATTAGCCTCTCATCTACTTTGATCTCTATTCTAAAACAATAATCAGAGCTTAAACAAAGTATTTACATAGCAAATAATGTCAACTGAGAAGCTAAAATGAGATTTAAATACAAATCACAATAATGGGCGAAGTATTGATACAGGTGTGCTAAAATTATTATTTTTCCTTCTCATATTTTATAGGCATATCCTGGACTGTACCACTTCATGAAAACAGAAATCACATGTAACAAGATGACTTTGGATACTCTGGATAGTTCAATTTGGAGCAACTGGAAGACAACTATTTTAAACAGGATAAAGGCTATTTCAATATTGACTAGTAGAGAAAAGCAAGTTTAAAAATAATATTTTTACTAGCATTATTGCCTAGTCAGTTGCCAATTTTATTTTGCAACATCCTAAAAACATACGTAAAAAGCAGTATAAAACCAAATTTAAGATTATGTTATGTGTAATCGGTATTTTTCCGGCACGTCACGCTTATTTCCAAAGCCAGAAAGCTTTGCTTCTAATAAGAAACTGGGAGAAAAATATTTATTACTCACTAGACCACGAGGGACTGTTCTCACACTAGGGAATCAAACACAGTTGGGAAAAGGAGGGTGAAAACAAGGTGAAAGTGGCTGCAGCAGCACTGAAAAAGCTCTAGCTACCCAACAGAGAAGGGGAACAAGGGATTGAGCACGGAGTGAGTGTGTGCCCATTGCCTCTGGTCCCGTCACTGGGCTCCACTGAAAAGAGCCGGGCTCCGTCCTCTTTGCACCCTCCTTCAGGTATTTATATACATTTGATGAGATCCTCTTGAGCCTTCTCTTCCGCAGGCTGAGCATTCACAGCTCTCTCAGCCTTTCCTTGTAGGAGAGGTGCACCAGTCCCAGACAGACTTCCCCATGGGGCACCCCACAGATGGGGGACAGCTGTGCCCTCAGACAGCTTAGAAAAAGCTACTGCAGTCATGAAACATGTTTTTCTAACTTGAGTGGATGACAGGCTCTAATCCCAGAAGGAATAACTTGGACTATCATACCAATTTTAAGCATTTTAAATCTAACAGAACCAAAAATTTTCTTTTCAGAATAATTTCTCCTTAAAAGTTTTATTATAAGCAGCTTAACCCTTGTGATGCATCAACTTATTTAAAGTATAAAATACTGTTCCAAAAATCCAGACATATAGGGTCATACAAATTTGCCCTGACCCAGAGAAGTATTCAGTTTAATCTAACTGATTAATTTATTTTTAAGCAAAGCAAGTCTCTCTTCTAAAAAGCCAAATTTGAACTCGTTCTTGCCCTAAAGGATTCTCAATGTCCCAGCTCTGTAGCTAAAGCTTCTCACATATTTTGTCAAATGAAATACAAGACACACACCAGTTGATAAAAAATATCTGGGAAGGTTCTCTGATACTAGGACCAACTGCTTACAAAATGTCCCAGCAGTTCCCATCAGCAACTGCAAAGAAAACAAAGTTTCCAAACATCTATATCATTGAAGTTAAACTGGAATGAGAGAACACTTGATTTCTTCCTACTTGGAATAACGTAGAGCAGGGGAAGTGCAGAAGATGCCTCTGCTCATTTCACACAAATACACTGAAAATGCCGGAGCCTGCGAATCAATTTTAACTATTCACCACTGCTGTTTACACACTTGTATAGGTACTTCACCTCCAAATCAATACTGACACCAGGGATAACTGAACAGTAATAGATATAGTGGAAGAGATTGACTTTACATTTGCAAATATTATTTCCAGAGGAAGACAACATTCACTAAGCAAGAAAGGTTAACTCTAAGGATATTCAGACTTGCTTTTTAAAATTGTATTTATGAAAACTCTACCCAACTGTTCTAACTACTACAAACATGCCTGCATATTCAGGAAATTTTCTAAGGCATCTATAGCTCTCAAACAACATTCTCCCTCAAGTGACAATTTTTCACAGTGTCTACATAAAGCAACTGAAAATTACTGCTTCACAAGATATTTTTTTTTTCATTGTACTTTTCTATACACATGCTACTTCCACATTGTCTGTAAAGCTTTGGTAGCCTACAAACATGTTTAAACAACCAGGCCCTTATTTTTTAGTGGATTCTGTATCTTAGTATTTTTGTTACACAATTAACCACTGCAGTAAAAACAGGCTGCAGACAAAGTGTTATAAGCATGTATACTGTATGCTCATGAAACAAAACAATATCACCCTCCCCAAACAAATTGTATCAATCACTAGAGTATGTGGACAATGTAAAAATTCTATCTGTACCTCCTTTCCTATGCAAGCACTTCAACAGGTAGGGGTAGCACACTGCTTTTCCAAACACAGGGTTTCAGCAACACCAGAGCTGTATAAAATTTTTCAAGTCTGGTAGTTTTAATAAAGAGCACAAACTATGCTTATATGATGCATATAAAGCAAACAATAATGTCTGCTGCCTGTACATACAATCATGAAGTTCACAGCTAAATTAGCACTGCCATCTGCTTCTGTCCTTGAACATCAAACAAATGTTTAGGTACAAGTAATGCAGAAAAGACTGTGGTACATGATTTTGAAACATCATTGTGTGGGGAATCAGGGAGATGGTCTCAGCATTCAAGAACAGCTGCTTGTAGGTCACACAACTACCTTTACTACTAATAGTTCTCTTATATCACAGGATTATCATGTGGCAAGTAGTTAAATTCTTTACACAATAAGTTAGCATACTGCTAGATATCTTGATATGTAATTACTAAAAAAGCCAGTGGAAGTGACAGAGGGTCCAACATACTGGTACGCAGCCAATGTCTTGAGAACATTTGGTTTAGGGCCAAAATTCCCAACAAATATAGCCAGTATTTCAATGAAATTAAATTAAACACAGAAGGATCAGAATCAAATATGAGATCATACAGGAATTACTACAAGGCATACTCATAGAGGCCAACATGACATTTTGTATGTGTAATTACTGTAGGATTTCGGAAGCTTTTGAGACTCTAACAGATCTTTGTTCACGACATGTGGTTTAAAAAAAACAAACAAAACCAAACAAAACCCCCCCAAACAAACCAGATATACTTATTCAACAAAAGAATAACAGAAGAAGAATATATTCTGTCCACTAACCATAATTGTTCAAATTTTAAGTATACTGGCATTCACTTTATCTTTTAGGTTCCATGTAATTATTTCAAGCTCATTGTGATACTACTTATCAAATTTTATGTTGTACCTACGCACACCAATATATATTTCACACACAAACGCAACAACTTGGGCCCTGAGCCCAAGTAACAGGATGTCTTGGAGGGGACAACAATCAGAACAATTGGACATTTCAGACAAAAATAAAACCAAGCCACACAAGAAAACAATACTTTGCATAAAATTGAGAATTCATAAAATTTGTAGAAACTGACCCTGTGACAATTTGTTATCACACAGCAGGACTTCTCCAAATGCAAGAGATTACAGCAGGTCTCAAAGGTTTTGTGAGGTAACTGCTAATACCTCTAAAATTTGCATGGCTGGGAGGAAGTGTTGGTAGACTGCCTCTACTATGAAAGACAAAGTAATTCAGATCTTCTGTAGAAATTTGTCCCAAATTTATCAAAGACACCATAGTCAAAGCACCTGATTTTTAACTGGCATCTTCAAGCTTGGTAAAAAGAAGTTCCTTTTTAAGTTCTGTATTATGAACAAAGCCTACTTTCAGTGAAATATAACTGTTTCTGCCTCATAGACACCGCAGACTAAAGCAACAGCAGCAACTAAGCAAACTGTCAGCCTAAGCACAAAAACACCACTGCTGCCACCACCTCAAACTGTGAGCTTCATGAGCCAAGGACACAGAGATAAACAGAACGAAGTTACTTTAAGAATGGCAGAAGTTATGTCTCAAAAACCAGCAACAAGAAAGCTGTTAAACTGTGGATGGATTGTTAAACACTTAGACTAAACAACCAGAAGAAATACACTTAATCCAGTAAGGTTATGTCTACATGAAGGGGTAATGCAACATGAGTGGGTCTGGAGGGCAGAACAGTAGGTGTTGCGGTACCGGTACCCACACTAGATGCATTTCAAAATTCATGCCAGCTGTAGTCTGGCTCCATGGACTAATGGCCCACTAATGGAGAAGTTCATTCTTCTGGTTCAGTTTCATTTAAAAGGAGCTCAGTTTGTGTATCTCACTCTTTTGGAGCAAGCACCTTAAACTGCTCTTATGAAGTGCTCTCTGCTGCCTGAACTAATACACTGGTGCAGACATACTCTGAGAAGACAACAATGGGGATATGGCCAGGTCCTCTTCTCTCTATACACTTCACCTTTTGCAATAATTACAGTTTGTGGGTCATGCAGGAAACAGATTAACATGGATCTCAGCGATGGAGTAGAACAGTTCTGCTCCATCGTCTCCACAATCTGGGCCTTCCTTAAAAGAATTGACACTTAAAGATGCAAGGTGAGGAGAAGCTTTCAAACATTTAAGTCTGGTTCAATGACATGATAATGTTCCCTACCACATTATCCAGAACAGCTATTTAAACGTAAGTCATCGTCACCAGCAATTCCTCTCCCTCTGCTGCAAAAGCATGGGCAACATCTCTCCAAACACTAATAAGGAATGCTACTAAACATACTCCTACACAGGCAGAGTTCTACTTCCGAAAAACTTTCTTCTCACACTTGGCATCAGTGTTACAAACGTGGATTGTTTCAGCCTGGAAAAAAATACAATGTTGTGTCAGGAACACAAAATAGATCTTTATTTCCCACGTGAAAGCATATGTTATTTACCGCAATCTTACATAAAAGTTCCAGGTATTGGCTTTCAATCTAGCCCCTAAAACTTGATTTGTAACACTTTAAAGAGATTAAAAAGACCTAGGCCTATCTGAAACTCTTGTTCACCCCTAAATTAAAAAGCTAGTTTAAACTCCAATAACACCAAATCAGAGAGACTGCAGAACCTGGAGCAATTTCAGAAGGTAATTGTTATCTAATTTTAAACGATTCATGTATAAATGCAGTGATGGAAGCAGCACTCTCAGCCTTCGTTTACAGTTAAGACACTTAAGGCTTGTAAAAACCGTGTGTGGTGATTTGGTCAAGTGGATATGGTTTTGCTTCATTTTTGCTACAGTCCCAAAGAGCTGCTGTCGTGGTTTAACCCCAGCCAGCAACTAAGCACCACGCAGCCGCTCGCTCACTCCCCACCAGTGGGATGGGGGTGAGAATCGGAAGATTAAAAGTGAGAAAGCTTGTGGGTTGAGATAAAGACAGTTTAATAGGTAAAGCAAAAGCTGCACACGCAAGCAAAGCAAAACAAGGAATTCATTCACTACTTCCCATCGGCAGGCAGGTGTTCAGCCATCTCCAGGAAAGCAGGGCTTCATTCTGCATAACAGTTACTTGGGAAGACAAAATGCCGTAACTCTGAATGTCCCTCCCTTCCTTGTTCTTCCCCCAACTTTATATGCTGAGCATGATGTCATATGGTATGGCACTTAGCACCTATTTAGCAACACTAAGCACTACTTAGCAAGAACCAAAGCATCAGTGTATCATCGACATTGTTCTCATCCTAAACCCAAACCACAGCCCCATACCGCTACCAAGACGAAAATTAACTCTATCCCAGCTGAAACCAGGACAGCTGCATAGACATTATCATCAAACACTGAAAGGGGAACAGCTAGAAAAAGCAACCCCCAAACCAAAACCAAACGAGCTATCCTGATAACATTTAGTAAAGTTGGAAATTCTAACATATCCCTTGCTTTTTTCTATTATTTTGAAGGGTCCCTAGTGACAGAAGAGACTTGGTGACCTTCAGTATGGCACTTTCTCAGAGTTCAAGAATGAAATCACTGTAGTGGGATGTAATAAATAGTAACTGTCAATGCAAATCCAAAATGCTTACAGGCTTTTTCAAAAATTATTTTTCAAGACATAGATTTAATAGAACATTTTTAAATTATGAATAAAGAAAAATGACAAGACTTTAAACATAATTCAAAGTCACCGCAGTGGACTTCCAAGTCTTTCTTTTTCTGAGTTATTTTAGAACACTTCAGGGCAACAGTGCTGGAAAGACTTTAAAGCTTTGTACGCCAACAAATCAAGCAGATCTGATCCCTCTAATGCAGATGCAATGAAGAAAGTATTGCAATGCTTGAAGAAAAAGCACATCCATCTGCAAACAGTTTTCTAGAGATAATGACCTTGTAGCCAATTTTCACAGGTTACATGATTCCACCCCTTTGTCCCTTCTGCAGATTGGCTAACACATTAGGAGACACTGATGGGTCGCAACACATTACCTGAAAAGAGAATATTTAAGTATGAAGCATGTACTATTGGAAGTTGAGAGTTAAATTAAAAGACCAGAAAGTACTGGGAAGGGATAATGATGCTTTGCCAATCTTATGGACTTTTTGTCTTCAGGGACCTTAACAAGATCTCAGAACTATATCCAGAACTCACTCTTGAAGCTTTATACACTGGGAAGGATTTGAAAAAGGCTCTCAAAAGCATGCACTGATGTAATGTACTACACCACATGGCACTGACCCAAACCTTTGAGGAAACATGACTGATACATTTTAATTATCTCTGTTTGGTAAAATTGTGTCTTTATTCATTTTATAATGCTGTTATGCCACAATAATAGCATGACAACCTCAACTTCTTTAGGTGACTGTTATCAAAGACAACCATCTTCCTTCTGAGTGAAACCAGTCTTTTTCTTATACAACTATACTGAAATTATAATCTACTATTTTGTCTTTAAACTTTACTTTTAACAAAGTATCCCCGTAAGTCACCAAATTGTTTTAGGTTTTAAGCAGAAGTTTTCCTTTTTTCCTTCAAGCTCAGCGGGTGGTTGGATTGCCACTGAGGTTAATTGCAATTAAAACAGATGATGAATTCATCTTGTTACTACAGTCCGAGCTCAGTGCAGACACCATCTGCAGTGTAAAACAGGATAAATACCAAAGCAAACCAAGAGACAAATTACCCTGCCTATCGCATGCTGCTGTAGCACCCAGTGTAGAGATGTAAAAAATCCTCTTCACAATTATTTTACCCTTGTTAGAAAGTGCAACCCCTGAATATTACTGCTATGAGTACTTGGCTGACTTGCTATGCAAAGAGGCATATGCAGTTGTTACTCCATTCCCATAAGTTATTCAGAAGCATAAAGTTATGCTGTTAAGATTAAATAAGGCCAAACAAAACAGGCTGCTGTACTACCTTCACACTCAAGTTAGTTCAAGCATTTTTACACTCAACTACAGTCATTAGTGTATCAGATGTCCATCCTTGCTTTCAATTTCAGATCCCAAGTTCATTCATTCATTTCTATTTAAAACCTGGCTATCTGTCCACTACAAAAATCAAATACTTGGTGATAATTTAGTGCTTTTTTAGATTTTAGCGAGATTTGACTCTTTACTCTCAAATGCAGCACAGAACTACTGTACTTTTTTCACAGTCCTTCCTGCACACTGGCCTCTACTTCCCCCTTCCAACCATATCAGACCTTCTGTACCATCTTTAGCAGCCTCTGCTAACCTCCTTTCTCTCTTATATTAAGGGCACTTTTTTTTCGTATACAGCTTTAACTCTCTTGAACCTCAGTTCCACGGGTTTCAAAGCATCCTCTCTTATGGTCATGACAAACTGGGATGAGCAGAGCCTTGCCTATGTTTGAGTGGATAGCAGGTGCAACCAAATACGCACGTTTCATTACGGGAAGAGGAACACCGAAGAAGAGTGTGCGCTGCACCACTTAACACAATTATTCTGCCCTTCTTTACCAGGTGATAGTTCTTGAGTTAGAGATGTTTCCCTACTTCAGTAACAGATCAGAGAAGTGGGAAAGTGCACTGAGACAAGCCACAATTTGCACATCAATTTCATGTCCTAGAAACTCAAGCAGTACCATTTTAGTATGTTTCCTATGCGTGCTTCTTAAAAGCTCTGCAAGCATTTTAGTGTATTAACAGTGCAAAAATCCCTGCCTTCCAGATATTCTGTAATTATGCAGTTAATACAAAAAAAGACACAAGATCATTTATTGCCTAATTGAAAATATTTCACATGCACACTTAACTGACCTTGGAGGGATTGAACGGCATCCCTAAATATGAAGAGCCTCTGAATCCACAGCGATCCAAGTTTGACCCTGGAAAAGATAAAAAAATACAGACTCAACTAACTTGCGTTGCTGAAACACTCACTATAAACCATAATTCTCTAGTCAAGATCCAGACCTGTTAGTTCAACACTATTCATAGCATTACTAGAGTTTGCATGTGTCTTTCAGTATGTTCCCAACCTCAGTTTGTTATTACTGTGATTAATTAAAAAACCAAAACAATGAAAACCACAAGTAAACTTGATCCTGCTGTAATTACAAAGCAACAGATTTTTTTGATTTGGTGGAAATATAGTGTTCATATCAACACAGAATTGTCTTCTGTGCTCCCAAAAAAGCCCCCAAAAAACCCACACCGCAATTGCTCCCCTGGAAAAGTGCCCAGAGCTAACAGATTTTTTTTCCTCCCTGGATTCCTGCCTGGTAATACCGTCTGTTCCCAAGCAGAACTGTTTTAAGATACTTTGCAACATGTACAAGGACAAACAAACTGTTTGCAGTTTTAAGCTAGCACTGATCCAACTCAATACTGTCAGAATGAAATAGTTAAAACGATGTGAAAGACAAATTCTTAATTGGAGCCATTTTTCTCTCACCCAAAACACAGGTACAAGAACTTTGCAGCTATCAACCATTTCTGTTAGTGATTCAGTATGATTTGTTTTAAAAGTGTCACAGTACCTGAGCATCCAGCATACAGAAGTGTACGCCACACGCTGTCTAGAGCTAAGTACAGGTTTGCAGAGCTCAAATCTGCTTCTGCATGGCAAAAACTCAATTACTTTACTCCTCAGTCTCTGAAAGTAAAAGCTTAATGAGTGCCACAGTTCAACAGCACTTGGGAGTTCTTAAATTCTCTCTTCTGTTTTTTTTTTCCACTTCTTCAGCCTTTAATCTAGAAATCCGCATGGAGATTAGGGAAAATTGCACCAGACTAACCAAAGGAGAATAGTTACAAAGCTTAAAGTCCTAAAATCCACATCACTTCACAATGTGGTCTACCAGTTCTGCTGTCATTTATCAGCACATTAGCTTCTAATTTTAAATACATTCTGCATGTATGCAATGTTTAAACTATAAGCTTTTATAAGTCTAAGTACTTCAACATGGTAAAACAGTTGCTAGCCTCCTAGCACACAAGTGTTCTGGCCTGCTGCAAATGAAAATGTGCTATAATTAGGACAGCTCTGAAGTCAAACAGAACACAGCTGCTAGTTGCTAGATGGAAGGATTCATCCCAGAAAGACTGATTCCCATCACTGGCCTTTTAGACTGTAGCTGATAATTCATTACCAAGGTAGAAATGGCAGCATGAAACCCAAGTGCAGTGCGCTGTTAGTGGGTCACTCTGGCTTCCCACTTGACAGCTACTATAAAAAAAAGAGAGATTAAAAATAAAATACATGAATGAAAACAGGATCTACTCCCTTTAGCTGTTCAATTTTTGTGTAGTATTCTAAAACTTTTCCTGTACTATAAACTGCTACCAACTAAAACCCAGCATTGGTAATTTCAAACTGCTGGATTTTTAACTGTATTGCTATCATTGATTTAAAATCTATTTTGACTCTTTATGTCAGTGACTTCTGATCTCTCATCCTAGACTTTATACACTGGCTCCTAGGAGAAACAGAAGAACAGCATGGCTCTTCAATGCCCTTACTACTGCATAAATCTTTAAAGGGAATTTTATCTGCTCCTCCAAACAACTTTGTCATTAATGTGCATGTAATAGATGCTTCCTAGACCTTCAGCATTACAAGTGAATTTCTAGATTTCTAGTTACAATTCTTGAATTAAAAAATAGAACGCTGAGCTGACAAAGGAAGTGTTAAAACAGGAAGTGAAAACAGATCATATCTAACCAGATGACTCTGCCATATCGACGTCATGTCTCAAATTTTTTTTTAGCTTGCTGGGAACATACAAGTTCAAAACCAAATGGGAACCAAAGGGGAATTAGGGAAAAAACCACTGTCTTTCAGTTTATGCACATCACCTCATCTTCTGTGAAGTTGGTTTTGCTATTTTATTGCAAAGTACTTGTACTTCTTATCTTAGGTAATAGCTTAGTAGTGCTAATCAAACTCTTGCCTACCTTCCTGAACCACAAACTGTCAGAATCTTGTCAAGCCTGTCAGAATCAGAAATAGAATTAGAAATTAAGCATGGCCTAATTAAAAGGATATGATCATAGTTTATGTCCCTTGTAAAAAATTGCTGGAATGACCAGTTCAGCTACAGCATAGTCCACTGAAGCATCAAGTACAACTGCAGTTATGAAATGGTACCACCTAGCGTTCACTTTCAGAGTTAAGCGTATTTAACCACTTTGTGAAAGAGCTTAAGACAGAGATAAAAGTAATAAAAGTTTAATCAATCACTGCATGACTATTGCAAGCGGAACAAAACACACCTGGAAAAACTTTTAACATTTGACAACAGAACTGAAAGAAAACTGACCCTTTTCCCAAACCAAAAGACTCCACACTAAAATCAAGAGCTGAGACTTTCCCGTGAAGAAAACCACGTTGCTTACGTGTGCGTAGGCCAGAAAGTCCTTAAGACATGTAACGCAACCCTGAGTGATGACCACAGACAGCTTATCCTGGGAGCTCTTTTCTTACAGACAGGACATTTTTGTTATTTATCTTTTATGCTTTGTCTTGCATGGCAAGACTGGTAACTTCTACCACTATTTCTTCCCCTTTCAGGTTACCTATGCGTTCCTATGGTTCCAAGGCTTTTCTCATTTTGCTAAGTACAGAAGCAAGTTTGCATACATCATTAAGATCTTCATATAAAAAAAAAATATTCACAGCCTTAACGTAGGCTGACACAGTCAGTACACCCAGATAAAAGTAAGTATAAGCAATTCTTTCTGAACTAGGGCTAAAAAAATAATTATTCTTATAAATCAAAGCACTAGAATGTCATAAAATGCAAACTTGCATTCTCTAAAATGGAAGCCGATTATACATCCAGATAAATACTTGAAATGTAGCCTTTAAAGAATGTTAAGTTGGAGGAAAACTCATATTTCTGCTCAAGAAACTCACGATCAGAAAGCTCATATGTAACAATGATCTCAAAACCAGTCAATGACATTTCATCCATTTTTTTCAGTACTGACACACAAGTAGAGAAGAAAGAAGCATTACTACAAATCTAAATTTAGACTTAGAAGAAAGTTTTAGGTCCCTGATATAGTGTAATGGTTTTCAGCCTGCTACGCATGGGTCCTGGGTGTTCAGACCCATGAATGAAATATGTCTCAGCTCTCCTTTTGGTGCCATTTCTTAGTACAGCAAAGCCAGTGAAGCATCCAGCTGTCAAAAAGTACCATCTTCTTCCCTCTCCCTTACTGGGCTGGCACTAGCACTCCCTGCCAACACAGCTCACCAACACAACACAAAGCTGACCTTCTGTTAGATAAATAAATGCATGCTCTTCTGCCACTTCAACAAGCTAAATCAGCTCACAAGCAGGGTCAAACAAGTGCCAGTGTTGCTATGAGGGAGGATGGGGGATGAATATGGCCAAGGAGTGTGCCTCCACTGTCTGTCTGTAATTAGATTACTTGAGTACAGAGCTCTGGATTCACTCTTTCAAAAGTGCTGAACTGTTTTTCAATGTGACCTGCAAGAAATTGGGATACACTGCTAAGAGTTGCACTTTAAGATAGTTAAAATAAATTTGAAATCCTGTCTCAGAGCTGCTTTATGAAAGGAAAAACAGTAAAGCTCTGACATGACAGGAATCTTAAGAACAAGCAGTTGAAACAGGGGTCTTTTGTCAACCCTTTTCCAATTTCAGTAACACTTTAAAAAGTATGTCTTAGTGTAAATACATATAATTTCTGATGAGGCTTGTAAAAGAGCACCACCCTCCTCAAAATGAAAGAAAGAAAAAAGTTTTTTCCCCCCAAGATTTCAACTGCTTTCTAAAAGGAAACACAGTGAGGTCTTTCTGCAGCGAGCACGCAAACAAACACACGTATTAGCCATGCACGTAAGCAGAGCATTTAGTAAAAGTGAAGGAAAAGTAACAATGGCCAAAATCTACAGAATATAAAGCCAAACTACTTTGCAAGAGTTGCAGACGACAGGGGCCCTTTAAATAAGCAGAAAACAGCAATGAGACCAAGCATTCAGCTCAGGTTGGTAGGTGTCTGTGTGACATGCCATTCCCTCCTAATTAGAACTGGTATTGAGTCAATCTCTAAAACACTTGTGTGGAAATTATGGTACCTAAAGGACATTATTTGTTTGAATCACAGCTACAAAAAACCTGCAGAAGAATACAGTCTATCCTGACAGACCTTAATCTTTAGCTTCCTTTAGTGCATTTCAGTTAGGCTCACAGAATATATATTTGCTTTCTTACTCAGTGAGATAAAGATCTCACCACTTTGCATTCATGAGCTTTAGTTTCACATAAAAATTTCAAAGGCTACAATCCTCTGAATTGAAGCTTTCATTAGCCATCAGACATATCACATACCAGTAAATACAAACATGTTACCTAAAGCTATCACAGTACATTGTAAGAATCTAAGACGTATTCTAGAACACCAAATTCTGAGTTTTCTACCAGGTTCTGTAATGCCCTGCTGTGGTGGGTTGACCCTGACCAGCAGCTAAGCACCCACACAGCCACCCACTCACTTCCCCCTCCCGTGGGAGGGCGAGAAACAGAGAGAAGGGGAGAGGACTCATGGATTGAGACAGAGACAGCCTGACAGGTGAAGCAAAAGCTGCGGGCACAGGCAAAGCAAAGGAGGAATTCATTCACTACTTCCCATCAGCCAGGCAGGTGTTCAGCCGCCTCCCAGAAACCAGGGCCTCAGCACGCGTAAGGGTCACTCAGGAGGACAAATGCCAGAACCACAAACATCACCCCCTTTCTCCTCCTTTTCCCGAGCTTTTACTGCTGAACATGGTGTCAGATGCCACGGTGCATCCCCCAGGTCAGTCGGGGTCAGCTGTCCTGGCTGTGCCCCCTGGCTGTATTTGCTGGAGGAGAAGGAGTTCAGAGGGGGAAAAAGCGACAGCCTTGATGCTGTGCAGGCCCCGCTCTGCAATAGCTAAACACCGCTGTGTTTCCAACGCTCTTTTAGTCCCAAACCAAAAGCACAGCAGCATACCAGCTACTATGGAAAAAATGAATTCTATCCCAGTCAGTATACCTAATATAATGGTTACTGATAAATATAAACAGATATTAAGTTTGCAAAGCATCAACTGTTCTGTCTCCCATCCATTGGAAAAATGACCGTAAGATAGCAATAGTTCTCAAAATAATTTGAATTTGCCATCTTAAAAAAGTGCTTCAGATAAAAATCAACTGAAGTGCTACTGATATGAAACTTCTGGAAGGACAAACATGAACAGTGAAGAAATTTGTTTTTCTGATAAGAATTAAAGAAATTCTCTTTTTGCCCATTTTAGGAATTCAACCAGTGACGCGAACAGAAACAAACCACAAAATTCTGTAAAAATATAATCCAATTTAAAATGTAAGTTTCCAATAAGTTTTCAGTCCCAGAGCCAAAATTAATGAAGACTGATATCAAGTACAATACAGTTACTTAAGGCAAGATTACTGGAATTCATCATTCCAGAAACTGTATCATAATAATGATGTGTTATAATTTAAATGTTTAAAAATCAATTTTCCACAAAGAGATTTATGAGCATGCATGTAAAAAAAGCTGCAATAGAATGTTTCTTTAAAAGCAGAGTAAAGGTGGTTTGTTTGTTTGTTTTTTTACCTGGAAGGATTCTGATGCATCAAGGTAGCAACCATTCTCTTTAACTAGAGATGCACAAGCATTTTGAAACTACAAACTTCACTGCTGCAGCCTACCAGAGTTTAGCTACTTCTTTGAACAGGCCAAAAGAGGGAGTCAGAGCTCTGGTGCTGCGAGGTTGCCAATTAACAAACATTGCACACACGCAGGATTAAAAAACAGAAAGTCAATACGTTTTATTGGAAGTAGGCATTACAAGAGGGCATACATTCCTTTCTGCACATTTAGTAATCCAATATCCAACTTGCTGCTGTTGGTATCATTTATGTTTTGCATCATCTATTGTCCATTAGGTGAAGTAAAAATGGAATAAAAATAATGCTGAAGTTTTAGGGGTCAAGTGACCAGATAGAGTAGTGTTATTACCAAAAGTGTAAGAGTGTAAGAATGTTTTTACAATGCGATACGAAAATACAGGACTGGAGGGAAGTTTGTTCTGGTGAAAAGCAGAGATTTATTACTTAAAAGCACAGAATGCACTGCCAAAAGCGCCCTCCCCAAAACTACGCTCTTGTAGTTTTATGATGGGATGATAGCTAGGAAAAGAAGAAGTGCATCTCAGCTGTGCCCTGGACTGCCAGCCTCCACATCTGCTTGCTGAGATGTATACTGCTCTCCCTAGGTGGCTCTTGACAATGGGCCTATTCCAAACATTGGCTAGCTAGATTCCCCCCACCCCCCGAAAATTACTGCATACTGTCAAAGACAAACAAACAAACAATGCCTACTCTAATCTCTCTTGCAAACTTCACTGTTCTTTCAGAATACACTCCTGAAGACTGGGATAAAGATCAGAAAGTGAGCAGCTCCTAAAAACAAAGCATGTACACCCTGGAACATTTTTTTAATGCTAAGGGACAGGAACCTTCTCATGGTAAAAACGTTGTGGGAATAATTATGTGATCCAAACCCCTAATTTCCTATAATCAGTCCTGGAATAAAACACAAGAAAAAACAAATCTATTAGAACTAATGCCTGGAGTGGATCTGATGGTTTGTAAGTCTCCAGAATAAGAAAAAGGATCTTTTTATTACCGTAAAAATCAAGCATCAGCAATCTTGACTTCCATATGCTTACTTCATAAAAATGCTTTTATTTCATGAAACTGCTTTTAGGGAAGAGACCTAATTTGTAGTATATAATCAGAGTAGATATTACAAGGAAACACACAACTTACTTTCTACAACCATCCAACATACAAAGTGCATGTTCATGGTTTTACAGACAGGCACCTGGAATTCCCTTTTCTCTAGAGACCAGCCTGGAGCTATCCCCACACCAGCACTTAACATGCCAGCACCTCCTGTCATAAAGCAGCAGTGCCTCACCCACATTTCCCTCCCTTCCACCCCCTCTACTGCTATTAGCCATTCACCTGCACTGCCACAGAAAAAACTGCCAATACCACCTTGCTTGCTCACAGAAACAGCACCTCCCTGACTTCTGTCAAGTCACCGGGAAAGGGACACTGCCTCTGTGCTCCCTCCCCAGCTTGGATCTGCTGTGCACCTTCCAATCTGAAGGACAGCTGGGTAAATTTAACCTTCACAGATCTAAGGAACAGATTTTTCATTTTAAAGCAGGAACTGCATTTGTCCCTTTTGCTTCTTAACCTTATACCTCCCATTTTCCAAAAGCTTTTCCAAATAACCACAGCTGTGGCTCCTGGCATAGCTACAATTAGTGGAAGTCAATACAATCATTTCTTAGACTTGTACTTCTGTAACATGCATTTCTTTTAGAACCAGGTGAAACATTCCTCTGAGATGCTTAAAGGTGCACCTTTGTTACTATTCTTTCTATACTGCTTTATCTTCAAATTAATTTCATAGCTCCACCTTGTATACATAAAAAAGACAAATGAATCACTACTTCTAGCTTTATTACTTTAGATGGATCTATTTTTAAGATTCGCTCGACATCGCTACCTGAAATTATCAGGACAGCACTTCAGGAAGGTCAACCTTGTATTTTATAAGAAACAAGAGCCATCCACTATTCCCCAGGTGAAAAGCAAAAGTAAAGATGTTAATATCAATAAAAAAACTAAAAACTCACTCACTGTCTTCTGTGGGAAGGACCTGCAGGGAATAAATCCATTCTATTATATCATCTTTGTTCACCACATCTAAGGAATCCAACATATCCAGACCAGAGAGTGCGAAAAATGCAACTGTCAACCTAAAAGAAAAAGATAAGACTTACACTTCCCACCATAAATATCATGGGGAAATTAACAAACGGTTGCAGAAACAGAAATATCTATGAATTCTTAGCCTTTGACAGTGGTGCAACACGTAGAGCCTAGCTCAGAAAGCATGAAATTTATCTAGTGGATGAAATTATGTTCTTTGTACTGTAAACATTTCTCTGTCTCAACAAGGCTTTTCATATAAGCCACCCCTCCTTTTATAGAGTAATGATATGCCAATTCAGACATTAACCCAAGGGCCTGCTTACCTGAAAAAAAAAAAAAAAACCCACTACAAAGTAAGCTAGGTTATTAACACGTGGAGCACTAGTTCTCTGTGATGAATTCTTACATGAACAACCCCCTAAATATGCAGTAAGCGCAAGGAAACCCTGAACTGCAGTAAGCTGTCTCTCATTGTGTCCCAAACCCAATTTCAGATGCTTAGAAGCTAGGTGTCAAACAGCACAGATCCCTTTGTAACGAATCAACGTATAAATAGGCACACAGGATGAATTACCATGTAGAGGTACTTATTTGCTGTCCTTTGGTATAAAGGAGCCTAGATGACTAACTAAATTAAACATCTAAATTAAGCACGTCAAATCCAAGTATCCAACACAGGAGTGCATGCTGAATGTCTGTCTTGCCCACAGCTCATTTCCTTCCATAAACGTGTGCCACCATACCTGTTAAACAACACCTTCTTTGAGGGTTTTGTTTTTACCTCAAACCATTGCAGTCCCTCATCTTACAGCATGGCCCCTCAAACAGCTGCATTAATTGCTCTGACAGAGCACCAAAGCAACAGCACTGGGTTAGGAACTTGAGATAGCTTGCTATAAGAGAAAATGTTCATGTCATGGTACCTTGGAAGTCCTGACTCAGATTAAAATTAGCTGGAAGTACATTTTGCCACCCACACTTGCATCTACCCATCCTTCTTCTAGAAATTCTTGCTCTCCTTTCACGAGACAGGATGATGGATTGTGAAACAGCTGCTACGCAGGCAGAAACTAGTTTAGCATGCTAAGGAAAACCAAAAGCTAATGCCAGCTTTCCTCAGGAGACTAAGTTATAATTTGCAGTTACCTCACAAGCTGTTGAGCCACCTTGGCCATCAGTAGTAGCCACCTCTAAAGACGAGGAGACAGATGGGGACAGAAGCCTCTACAGACACGTAATTTCCGCATGTGGTTCTGCATCAGAACCACAAACAATAAGACCAAAGAAAAAAATTATGTGAGTCAGCCCAAAACACACCTCCAAAAGAATTCTTCTAATTAAAATACAGCAGCCAAATGATAATGCAGCAGACACTGATCTCGATAAAATGGCACAACCTCAAAGGGTGACATTCTTAGCAGTGGGCTGACCAGCTGCTATAGTCATCCTGTGGCCATTCACAAGCAGAATTTAAGTCAACAACTTCTGCTTCAAAATTGTTATCATCTAGGATTACATACCACAAGCAAAGGCCAAAACTCAGTTGAATAATGGCCACTTGTTAAGCTGAGGTTACTTGATTTTACACTATCTTTGACCCTCAGCTTTTGCATGGCTTTTCATACCACTCTTACAAACAAAATAATCTATAATCTGCTTGGATACTGAACATTCTCTCTTCAAAAAAAATCCCTCCATGCAACTCTAAGGGTCTTGCAAAAAAAAAAAAAAAAGAAAAAAAAAATCAAACACAGAATAGGGTACAGCTCCATTACTGCAAGTATTCATGGCAGAAAGCATAAACTTACTCTGTAATCGTTGGATTCTAAACTATGTCTCTTTACTACTATTATTGCAAATACAGTTTTTGAGTATAGAAAGCAAAAACAAGTATGTTACACACAAAGGTATTTCTATGTGGGACAAGGGTATCCTTTTAAGCCATATGATGACTTAAAAATTGTCTTTAAAAGTACAAAGTTAACACTTCAAGGCTTATATCAACTTTTGCCATTGATCAGATCTGTGTAACCCAAAATCTGACTCTGGATAATAACCCACTAGCTCAAGCAAAACCACTACTTTTATAAAAAAAACAATGAATTTACCATTCAGCTACAGTAAATTATTTCTTTGAAACCTTGCGTGTATTTTCTGGTTTTCACAAACACTAAGTTTGACAATCTTTTACTGAAACTACTTAAAGACATTTTCATATTATGTTACCCTGCTAAGCTACTGCCAATGAGGCACAAACAACATGCCAACTTCAGCACTAGAAACTACCACAAACTAGGTCCAAAACCACAAGGCTGTACATACTAGACAGACAATAAAATCTCGTCTACACTTAAAAATACATATATCAGAGAAACGAATGTAAAAAGTGGTTTTACATATAGTTAGTTTTCAGTTTACTTAGTTAGAGTTGATTCTCTGTGTTAATAGTACCAGTATAATTAAGGAACAGCCGGTACAGTGTGTTGGAATTCACATACGATGGGCAAGAACATCTGGCACCACTGGACATGGGCAGGTCCTGCATCCTTGCTCCATACGCTATCCTGCCTCACAGAAAATTAACAGACACATGTTCTAACACTTAACAAAGACACCTCTCAGCAGCACCTTAGCTGACATGGCATGAAGTGTAAAAACTTTACATACAGCGATTTCCACAGAGGGCAGCCCTTTGTAAGACAACCCCCAAGTCTGGCATCACTTTTGCTGTATCTTTTCTTCATGTCTTCTACCACTTTAGCTACTGCATGTGTATTAATTTAGTAAGTCAAGCATCAAAGCTTGACAGCTGCGATTTATTTGTTAATTGACCTACCAAAAGCTTACAAAGCAGGTATCATTTGTCTTAAGTTCCCCTTCAAGATAAGCAAGTAAAAACATTTCTGATGACAGGTTCTGAGCTCTCCGTCTTCAGGCATGGACAAAGACTACAGTTTCCCAACAGAATTCAGAAAGCATCTGAAGCGACCAATTTGAGAAACTGAGCAAGTGTGCTACGAAGAGCACCAGGAAGCACCACAGTCTGAAAGACATCAGGGAACAGGAGAGTTGCATTCTCCTGCAAAACCTCACAGTACTGACTGATCATGCATGAAACACATGTAATCAACCAGATTACTTACAAACTACCCTTGCTGATGCTGCATACAGTAACTACAGACAAAAATAATCACGACAGCTCTGAGCCAGTAAGTTAAGAACGTGAAATCAAATTTCTTTATTGTTCTACCTACTCCCTTAGTGTTTGACAAACTACAGCTTAAGTTAGACTGGACCAGCACTGTGTGGAAAATTTCAGCCTCTACCACCCTGCATGGTGACAACAAATGCAGTTGCTTCTGCTGCAGTGCAGTGAACCAAAACGAACTCACTGACAAATGATTTTTTTTTTTTTACAAGTCTCTCTTTAATTAGTTGAGTTTCCCATCTAATTCACCATGGAACTACACAAATGCAGGAACAAGGGAGGTAAGAATAAAAGGGTAACAGCATTTCCTTCTGCAGCAGTACCAGCTCAGGAGGCTTGCTGAAATCAGTGACCTTGAACTTCTCAAAAAGGCAAACTTAGTACCCCCTCAAGGTCAAACTGGGGAAGACGCATTCATGGTTCAATCCCCTGCTTAGAATTTCTTAAGAGACGTGTATGTACGTCTGCAGAATACTGATCTAAAAAACACTGTAAGAGAACTGAAAAACCTCTGGCTGAGTAAAAACTTCACAACTTCAAAAAATGCAGGAATTTAGACGACTGTGACTTTTATTCTAATCAAAGGCTTAGACTGTGCTCATTTGCCAAAAATTAAGGCATCCCGAAATAGTTTCAAATTGACGGTTCCAGTTTTCAGAAAACAGCGATTTTTCAGTAAACAGCGATTTTTCAGTGTGGCACAGCCATTATGTACCATACGCTGGGCACTGGTTATTTAATGTGTTGTGGCTACTATGACCACACATTAAATTTAAGCTCAGACACCTCATTAATTTCTCAAGAGTTCTCAAAACAATTGGCATTACTATTAGCATTATTCAGTAAGACTGGGGAAGACCTCATGTAAACCAGAGCCTCTGTTTCAGCTCAGTGGCAAACTGCGACAGCTTGGCAATGTGAATCACGGAATAGAAATGTCTCAGTTGCCAAGGGCCCCTGGCAATCACTGGTCCCACCTTCTGCAGAAAGCAGGGCCTTAGATGAGCTGACCCAGGACCCCGACAAGCCAAGTCGTCAAGGGAGACTCCAGCACTTCACTGGGCAACCTATTTGTGGTTAACTGCTCTAACAGTGAAGAACATTTTTCCTACACCTGAAGCAACTCATTCCCGTAGTCTCCTGCCCTGTCACCGTGCTCCCTGGTGAAGAGTGCACCTCCATCTTTCTCTGTAAGTAGTTTCTTGGTAACAAAAGTCCATGACCAGAACCTCTCTCCTCTAGGCTGAACAAACCCTATTCCCTTAGCCTTTCTCCATATGTTGGTGTGGCTAAGGCTAGCTCTTTGCACTTTGATTCTAATACAGCTGCATGTTATTGTAACTTTAATGCCTAGCAAGAGTTAAGAGGATAGCATGCCTAGACTTCCTCTCGCTGTCACTTAAAATAACTGACAAAGTACAGTGAAACATCAGCTAATTCTTAATGAACAAATGATTTACATCTCTGGAATAAAAATTTCTAGCTTTCCTTTTGAATATCAAGCTATGTGTTATTCCACACACAGTTTGGCACTATCCATCCTTACATGTTTTTGCCAAGCGTTTGTACTCTCAACTGAAACAAAGCTTGACTTAGCAGGAAGACTTGATCAAAGCCATTAAGCATTCTTCACAGCCTGACGTGCAAGAGATTACAAAGGGAAAAGCATCTGATGATTTTATTGGTTGAGTAAGAGATCAAACCCTCTACATGTCTCCAAGCTTTTATCAAGTGCAGCTTGACAATCAAATTATTGATCCTCTTGTGCCTCAGATATAACTGACCACCTTACGTGAAGACTTTAAGAATCCGAAATAAATGCATTCTGAAGACAAGTGCCCCTCTAATTCAAAGTGAGGAACATACTTCACCAGTACCGTAACTCTTATACTAGCTAGTGAAGATTTAAATTATTTCTGTTACATAAACAAGAGTCTTCTGCATGCTGACTTCGAGCTACAAAAGGCTTAAGTCATATATTTTAAAATCGGCTTCCAGGGTGGATTAAAGGAGCGAAGCACAGGACTGAAAATAGACTGAAAGGATCAACAAGTCTTCCCTCGGGGACATCGGGGAGTTCAAGCGAGCACGGACTAAACCCCTGCATCAACTCCTACGCTCTGGGAGCCGTCCGCTGGCGGGCAGACGTACGGGGAGCGCTTTCCCCCCCGTTGCGGCCGGCGCGGCGCGGCGCTGCGGCCGGGCGGGCCGCCCTCCAGCGGGGATCCCCCCTCCACGGGACCGCCCGCCGGAGAGGGACGAGGCGCCGCGC